ATGTTATTCAGCTATACCTAAATTTCCTTATTATTAAGGGTATATGACCAGGAGGTGATGGAGGAAGAGATTTAATGCTAAATACTATTTGTTTTCTTTTTTGAACCTGTTCTCAACAGAACTAGTTATGGAGGACTTGCCCACTCTCGGGTGGCCTTAGTCTATTCGTAAGTGATTTCCCCCAAGCCCCAAACACCTTGTACTAGGTCCTACCTCCCAACACTGCAACTCTGGGTGTCAAATGATTACATGAGGGGAGAAATCAGGTGTCAATCAGCATGAGCATTTCAGAGGGGACACAACACTTAAATCATAGCACCATCCTTATCCACCTTAAGTCAAACGTAAATTCATACTGATGTCTTCAACACTAATCCATTATCACGTGGATCATTCCAGATACCTCCCTCACTCATCACGAAACTCCCACTCCAACAGTGAGAAATTCAGTTTTCATCATTCAGCATCAACTTTACCTAATTGTTTAATTTCAGTGTACCTGTGTGACAGTATCAGAATTATTATGGGCCAACCGGTGGCATAGAGGTCAAGGTGGCCACATGATTCTAGTCCTAGACCTAGAGGTTTGAAGAAAAAAAATTTTCAGAATTATTTACATGAATCTTCCTTGGATACAACTTATGAACACAGTGCAATGATTATACATAGCTTCATTTGCCTTTGATTTTACAGTTTCGACTCATTCACGAAATTACAGAGATCAACACCTTTCCCTCCAACTTTCTTCAGAAAAGTTATTTCATTCATATGTGATATTTTTAGGTTGTTTTGTCAACATCTGTGTTTCATCTTGGGATATCAAGACATACTGAATCTTTTTTTAAAATGTATACACAGTTGGGAACCAGCAGTTGCGTAATGGCTGTCGCTGGACTCCCACATAGTCGACCGCGGTTCACGTCCCGGACCCAGTGGCTTAAAACTCACGCCGGCGCGTGTGCGTGCGTGCCCAAGATCCCGAGAGGAGAATGGAGGAGAAGGGATTGCGGCATGCCATCCCCCCTGGGGGTGATTTCTCGCTTTCTGTCTCTATGTCTCTCTCTGTCTGTCTGGCGAGTGCACACGCCCTATAGCGAAAATCTCTCCAAAAAAAAAAAAAAAAGTATACACAGTTTACTCTTTACACTATAAAGTTATATGGACTTTGACAAGTGCTTTACACGTGCACTATACATTATGGTGATACACAGAATATTTTATAATTATAGCACTTTACGGATTAATATTACCATCCTAAAGAGTGATGCACAGAATATTATATAATTATAGCACTTTACGGATTAATATTACCATCCTAAAAAATGTCTTGCATTGGGGTCAGCAGGTGGCCTGGTAAACGCCACATGGCCCACCACAGTTTATACCCCAGACCTGGCAGCTTGGGATTCATGCCAGGCACGTGTGCATGCATGCCCAAAGCCCTGAGAGGAGAATGGAAAAGAAGGAATTGTGGCATGGCCACCCCTCCTGGGGGGTGATTTCTCACTTTCCCTCTCTCTGTCTGGTGAGACAGGCTCTATGGCAAAAAAAAAAAAAATAAGCCTTAAAATACAAAAAAAGAAAAAAAAAAAGGAACCTCTTATATTTTACTTACTCAACCCTCTCTGGGCAGCTCCCAATCCTTTCACTGTGTCTATAGTTTTGTCCTTTTGCAGAATGCCATATTTAGTAGTTGAAATTATACACTATGTAGCCATTTCAAATTGATTTCTCTGGCTTAGAAATATACATTTGGTTTTTATCTTTATCTTTTTGTGGCTTGATAGCTCTTTTTTTATAATTAAATGTTTTATTGTATGAATGTGCCAGTTTGTTTATTCATTCACATACTGAAAGACACTTGGGGCTGGGCCTGTAGCCTAAAGGTTAAAGTAGCCAGATCCTATGTGGCTGACGGAATGTTCAAGTTCCAAACTCGGAAGCTTGACATACACAAAGGTAGCAAAGGAGGACAGCAGCAGCAGCAGCAGCAGCAGCAGCTGTCCATATTTCCTCCTGAAGGAACCAGGTGGCTCACCAAAGACCCACATGTGAAGTATTTTACACATCATAAATAAACACATTGACAGCTATTATCTCTGTGTATAAAATATGTTTTGAAATTCTAGACATGTGTTTCCATGTATAAGTGTTGCTGCCAGAAGGCATCATTCTTCTACCAGAACTTTCCAAGAAGAAACTTCAGGCTGTAACACATGCAAATTTGAAACTCAGTAGAAACTCGGTGAAATGAAAGGAGAAATGACTAGTAACAGACCCTTGCTCAAAGGCACATTACCTTCCGCCTAACAAGCCAGAAGTATTCTTCTAAGAATGAGACCAGGAATGACCCCTTCTCTACAAACACTTCCCAGAAACCAAAGGAACATGGGAGGGAATCTTCAGAAATCTGGGGCCCCCATCTCTCCTTACTGGTGTAGGAGAGGGGAGAGGAAGTAAGCAGAGACGTCAGGTCCTAGTGATATGATTTTTCTTATCCTCTCAGAGTCAAATCTGGATGAGGGAAAGCAAGAACACTAGGACCTGAGACAGAAGAGGCAGGCTGTCTCGCATGACAGAGGCTTCCCTTGTACCGTTGCTTTTTGGAAGCAACATTCATCTGGATCCTCCCTCAGAATCATAATAGAGAGGACAGAACTTTGCAGCTAGAGAGAAACCTGCCATTACAGGTACCTCCAGAGAACAGATGAAATGGGCCCCACATAGCAGACACAGATTTTGACCATGGCCAGCCTAGTCCAGCCATCCCACAGCAGAAGGTGTGGATCTAGCAGACAGGATCTTCGCTTACAGATCCAGGATCTTCGTTCCTGTCACTCAGGAGTGATCTGCATAGGTTGGTGTGGGAGTGAGGGATTAGACATCCAAAGAAAACAGTTTAAGTCAGAAAAGACCGAGATGCTGGTTAGTAGCAGATTTGACTTTCCAACCAACTTACTAACACTAAGCAGAGGACTGGAAATGAAAGTGTCCTGAGGAAGGTGAGATGAGCTGCAGTAAACAGAGAGCTGCAACTCTGGGTGTCCTTCTCCTTGTTTCCAGTACCAGAGAGATTGGGAAGAACTGGGGTTCAAAACAAATCATCAAGCTCCTATACAAATAAAAATTTAGTATAATTTTTTTGGAAAGCAGGTGACAGTGTAAATGTGTTCAGAAATGTTTCTATCTAAGGTAACAAAGGGCTTTTATTCCCTGAAGCGTAGAACCTGAGCTAGGTGCCAAACTTGGTTGTCCAGAATAATTCATTAGCCAAACATATTTCAGTCAAGGTACTGAGCTAAACACAGAACGGGTGTAATAGTGGGGGATTTTTATTTCATTTACTCTTCTTCTTCCTATCTAAGTATGTTGTACCTTTTTAAGGTTCAAATTGTTTTACTTTTGAATATCACCTGAAATATCCTTTTTTAATAATTGGACTTTGGAACCAGCAGATGGCATAATGGTTATGTCACTGGACTCCCATGTAGTCAACCACGGTTCAAGTCCCAGCCCCAGTGGCTTAAAACTCATGCTGGGCAACTGTGTGTGCTTACTCAAGATCCCCAGAGGAGAATGGAGTGGGAGGGATTGTGGTGTGACATGGTAACTGATTTCTCGCTGTCTCTCTGTCTCTCCTGCTACCACATGTTCCATATAACAAAATTCCCTCTTAAATAAATAAATATGGGTCCAGCAGGTGGTGTGGCGGTTGCAACACTGGACTCCCACATGGCTGACCATGGTTCAAGTCTAAGATCTGGTAGTTTGTTTTCTCACTTTCCCTTTTTCTGTCTCTAACTGGTCAAATAAAAATAAAAATAAATAATAATAACAAATAAAGTTAAATAAATTTTTAAAAAATAAATAAATAAATAATGTGGACTTTATTTTCAAAAAGCTTATACTGATTCAGCGTATATACCCTTCCTCCACTTCTTTAC